CCAGGTGTGCGTAATGATGGTTGCCAGGTGTGCGTAATGATGGTTGCCAGGTGTGTGTAATGATGGTTGCCAGGTGTGCGTAATGATGGTTGCCAGGTGTGCGTAATGATGGTTGCCAGGTGTGCGTAATGATGGTTGCCAGGTGTGCGTAATGATGGTTGCCAGGTGTGCGTAATGATGGTTGCCAGGTGTGCGTAATGATGGTTGCCAGGTATGTGTAATGATGGTTGCCAGGTGTGTGTAATGATGGTTGCCAGGTGTGTGTAATGATGGTTGCCAGGTGTGCGTAATGATGGTTGCCAGGTGTGCGTAATGATGGTTGCCAGGTGTGCGTAATGATGGTTGCCAGGTGTGCGTAATGATGGTTGCCAGGTGTGCGTAATGATGGTTGCCAGGTGTGCGTAATGATGGTTGCCAGGTGTGCGTAATGATGGTTGCCAGGTGTGTGTAATGATGGTTGCCAGGTGTGTGTAATGATGGTTGCCAGGTGTGCGTAATGATGGTTGCCAGGTGTGTGTAATGATGGTTGCCAGGTGTGCGTAATGATGGTTGCCAGGTGTGTGTAATGATGGTTGCCAGGTGTGCGTAATGATGGGTTACCAGGAGCGGTGGTTAGTAAACCGGCGACGTCAAGCGCTGGCGCGGGAAAGCGGGAGTAGGCGTGACAGTACCCCCCACGACGCCGGCCAGGGGGACGGCCCCGAGGGCTCAGAGCGGGCCAGGGGGACGGCCCCGAGGGCTCAGAGAGGGCCAGGGGGACGGCCCCGAGGGCGAGTGGCGGGCCGGCCAGGGGGACGGCCCCGAGGGCGAGGGGCCGGCCAGGGGGACGGCTCCGAGGGCTCCGAGCGGGCCAGGGGGACGGCCCCGAGGGCTCCGAGCCGGCCAGGGGGACGGCCCCGAGGGCTCCGAGCGGGCCAGGGGGACGGGCCCGAGGGCGAGGAGCCGGCCAGGGGGACGGCCCCGAGGGCGAGGGGCGGGCCGGCCAGGGGGACGGCCCCGAGGGCGAGGGGCCGGCCAGGGGGACGGCCCCGAGGGCGAGGGGCCGGCCAGGGGGGACGGCTCCGAGGGCGAGGGGCCGGCCAGGGGGACGGCTCCGAGGGCTCCGAGCGGGCCAGGGGGACGGCCCCGAGGGCGAGGAGCCGGCCAGGGGGGCGGCCCCGAGGGCTCCGAGCGGACCAGGGGGACGTCCCCGAGGGCGAGGGGCCGGCCAGGGGGACGGCCCCGAGGGCGAGGAGCGGGCCGGTGATGGATGATGTTGGGATCTAGAATGTCGTCCACCTAGACCCAACACCGCTCCTCTGGACGGTACCCTTCCCAGTCCACCAGGTACTGGAGCCGACCCCCACGACGTCGGGAGTCCAGGAGGGATCTGATGGTATAGGCGGGGCTCCCCTCGATGTCCAGGGGAGGCGGAGGGGTGTAGTGGGGGACGGTATCAGCCAGGGAACTAGGAACCACTGGCCTGAGGAGGGAAACATAAAAAGAGGGTGAGACCCGGTAGTTAGTGGGGATATGTAATCTATATGTCACCTTGTTGATCCTCCGGAGGACCTTGAACGGCCCCACGAACCGGGGGCTCAGCTTCTTATAGGGCAGAATGAGTGGGAGGTTCCTGGTGGAGAGTCAGACACAATCACCAGGATGGAACACGGGAGCCTCACTGCGGTGGCAATCCGCCTGCTCCTTCTGGCGGCGGACGGCACGCTGGAGCCTCACGTGGGCATTGTTCCAAACCTCTTCTGCACGCCTGAATCACTCGTCCACCGCAGGAGCTTCGGTCTGCCTTGGGGTTCACAGAGCCAGGGCTGGCTGATATCCCAGAACACACTGGAAGGGAGTCAGCCCGGTGGAGGAGTGACGCAATTAATTCTGGGCGTACTCCGTCCAGGGAAGGAATCGGGCCCACTCCCCCTGCCGGTCCTGGTTCATGCTCTCCACCTGCCCGTTAGACTGAGGCCGGTACCTGGAACTGAGGCTGACCGTGACCCCCAGGACCAGCGGTTAGTAGACCGGCGCTCGAGCGGGAGTAGTTGTGACAGAAACACCTAAACAATAAAGACCTTGCTCCTGGAAGGTAAGGAACCCCTCATCATCCTGATGGTGGTTGGTGATCAGGGAGATAAAACCCTTCAAACAGAGACTCCCTGTTGTGCTATGGGTGGCTGTGTCACATGAGGCACAGAGAAGATGCCTGGGCAGGAAATCTTTGCATCGCACAACCGTATCCTCACTGTTGCAATACTGACACTGGCCCAACACAGTACCTTCAGCAGAGAGCATGCTGTCCACCATTATCAATACTGATACTGGCCCAACAGTACCTCCACTTCTCTGATCCTCAACACTGGGACCCCACAAGGGTACGTGCTCAACTCCCTCCTGTACTCCCTGTTCACCCATGACTGCGTGGCCAAGCACGCCTCCAACTCAATCATCAAGTTTGCAGACGACACAACAGTAGTAGGCTTGATTACTAACAATGACGAGACCACCTACAGGGAGGAGGTGAGGGCTCTGGGAGTGTGGTGCCAGGAAAATAACCTCTCACTCAACGTCAACAAAATAAAGGAGATGGTCGTGGACTTCAGGAAACAGCAAAGGGTGCACCCCCCTATCCACATTGATGGGACCGCAGTGGAGAAGGCGAAAAGCTTCAAGTTCCTCGGCGTACACCACTGACAAACTGAAATGGTCCACCCACACAGACAGTGTGGTGAAGAAGGTGCAACAGCGCCTCTTCAACCTCAGCAGGCTGAAGAAATTTGGCTTGGCACCTAAAACCCTCACAAACCTTTACAGATGCACAATTGAGAGCATCCTGTCGGGCTGTATCACTGCCTGGTACGGCAACTGCACCGCCCGCAACCGCAGGGCTCTCCAGAGGGTGGTGCAGTCTGCACAACGCATCACCGGGGGAAACTACCTGCCCTCCAGGACACCTACAGCACCCGATGTCACAGGAATGCCAAAAAGATCATCAAGGCAAAAT